CATAGCATGCATCCTACAGATGATATAGGACCTGAGAGATTGCATGTAAGTTTTTTCATCCTGGGGATGAGATAGGACCAAATTGCAGTTTTATCAATTTCATCCCGGGGATGAGGTTGGACTGCAAAGAGTTAAAACCATAAGACTTGTCTATGGATATTCACCACATATTAGACATGATGCCATTTTTCCATCACACTTAATATTGCAATGCAGGTAAAATATATTATACACCATACAATTTTAAATATATGAATACATATATGGTGATATATGGTGGTATATGGCAAATATATGATCATACATGACCATAAGTAATCATACACCCTGTCATGTATGGAATTTTCACATGGGTGTCCATATTCAAAGAAGTTTATATTTTAGATAAAAAATTGCTAAACAATGTAGGTGGCATTGCAAATGCACAGTCAAACAATGAAAGGGACATCAGTAAAATTCCAGTGAAATTTAATTGGGTCTGAAAAGATTAAGACTCTATAACCATAAGACTCTCTGATCTCATATAACTTTTTGTACCTTTTGTTATACCTTTCCTTCCTTATCAACGTACAGAATTCATTCAGCCACACTCATCTCCTCATGACAAAGAACTCTCCAAATGTAGACAATCAGATGGAATGGAATCTTACATATTTAATAACCTCAAGAAATTGGTAGCTATTTTGAACCTATTTAGAACATAACGTCAAAATCCTACTGTTAAAATTAATAATATTTTTGGAGAATTAGGCTTCTGAGTAACACACTCTGAGAATCACATGACACACTTTCACACCCCAGTCAAGCCATTTCAACCAAAACCTATGTCTACAGTGATTTCATGCCTTCTACATAGAATAGTTAGCTTTATTGAGTCTCCCTTAAATAAAGATATACTGAAACTGATGTACAGTTAAACTGGAAATACAGTTAACCTGCACCTGTACTTGACATTAATTCAAAGCTTCAATTCCAGAATAATCCATTTAGGCAAATGCTGTCATGCATCATTAAACTTAGAAGTGTTTTCATTTGATCTCAGTACATCCTAAACCTCATTGAGCCAATATGAATAAGTACACTGATGCATGAAATTCTACTTTCTTCATGAAGGGTCTCTGATGTTCTGTAACTTGAAAATGCACATGCTGCTTATCTTCATTTCTGCAGGTTTCCAATGAAATATAAGCATACACAACATCCCTGCCTGCATAAGAATACATAAACTCTTGAACAGTAGCAGGAAGGTAAAAACCTATTCAGCATTCTACTAAAGAACCCAGAATTTTGACCTTTCATCTGTAACTATCTGGAGTCACAATTGCAGGCACTATTTGTCTGGGTTATGTCAGGCCAGAATTTCTGTCTTTTGCTCTCCTTGACAATCACATTTTCCTTCCCTTTCTGATTTGGGGGAATGGGAGCAATAACTTCACATGACATGAGCACAATAGGTCTGCCTCCCACATGCAGAGATGTGCCTGCCCATGTACTGCCCCACAGTCTGTATGATGGCTAGAAACCAAAATGGCACAGGACAGGGGTGATTCAAAGGAGCTGAAGGCAAAACCAAAAAAGCAGAAATTGGGGTGTCTGTATCATAAATGAAGACAATGCCAAGGCAATTGGTCATCTACAGGCAGCAATGGGAACAGCTTCTCATGTTTTTAAATCATGTTGCAGTGCCTCTATTACTGTGATTTGTGTTAAGTTCATTAACTTTTATGATGCGCAATACTGTTCCTACAGACCAATTGAGAAACTATGGATTCCTCCAGCCTCGAATGCATGGTGAACTAGTATTCAATTAATGTCTCTAGTGTCAAAACATGAGAAGCACCAGCCACTCACAGGGGCATGAGAACTTCTTGCAATATCACTGTAAGGAATTTTCAATTGAATCGTAGAATCAAATGCACATTTAAATAAAACACCAATTTCTCAGATGAGATTCTCATGGGCAGACTGGAAACAAAACTTATGAACTTCTGATGTCTGAACTTTAGGAACAAGACAAAGTATCCAATTTTTGTCTTGATTTCAATGAATATGCATTGGATTATGAAATTCTCCTCAGAGGTGTCAGGAATGAAGAAAAAATACTTCAAGAGAAATTATGGTTGTTGTCAATAGTTGCTTGGTGGTTCTTGAACTATTGTGTTCAGTGGATAAAATATTTTCTGATAGGATGTTTTTCACCCTCATCAGCTTAAAATTTCTCAAAGTTTAGAAGATACAGTCTAGAATATTAAAAGGTCTTGTCCATGATTATTTTCAGGTGGTCACCCTTGGTAGCATAATGCAATACAACACAAATGTTATGGTTCTCAATAAGTTACCTGTTAACACCCTGGTCATTTCTGTTTATCCTATGTTTTTCTGGGGGGAAGACATTGGTTTTTCAAGTCCTATTTTGTCACTGCTTACTTTCAGATTTAATTTCACTCAAGGGAAACTGGAATGTGGATATTTTAACACTGGATTAGAAGCAGTTAACTGGACATAAAACAAACTGGAAAAAATCTAATATGGCTAGTTTAGTTGCAGTCTATATTCAGTTTCAGTTAACTAAGACAATTGGAAGATGTGAAACTATAGGTAACATAATTGTAAGGACGTTTCCTAGGTAGCCTGTTTTTCACTGGATATTTTCTTGATTCTTTGCTGCCAACCTTAGGACTAAGTATCTTACCGCAGCCCTAGGCCTAAGCCAACGTGCATAGATTTAAAACCTGCAATCTAGAAAATTCTACGCCACGTAACCTCAGGCACAACACGTTGAGAGATGAGCAATTGCGCTGAGGCAGGGTTGCCAGATGGTCCCCTTGCCATTACTTTCACGAGGAAATCGCTGGTAGAGAAATCACGAGTGGGAAGAGATGCCGAAATGGAGTATAAGAGTATGTACAATGTTTTCGGATTTAATTCGAATACTCTTTGGATAGTAGTGAACGAAGGAAGCACTGATTTCCGTGGAACGTCGGTATCAGATGATGAAATCGCTAATCTGAAAAATGTCACTTGTTGAAATCGATGGAAGCACTTCCTTATGACGCAATGGGACTGATATTGTCCTTCATCAGTAACGCAGGAAAACCTCAGAATAAAGGTCTTCATAGGGAGAGAGAGATGATGACACGCATTCGGAAGATGTGTTAATGAGCGGATAATAATTTATTCATGCACCTCAATCTGAGTCCATTTAACAAATAATTGATACTCATACGCTCGTAATCAGATTTCTACTGAGGGTGAAATGCTCCCTGGGTCTTACGGAAGGGTGAAAACTTATAACGGAGATTTTCCCCATTTGATAGTCCTCTTCATACCACAATGCACATGACAACAGCTAAATGTCTCCCAACTCTACGCAGTGCAGTCCCATCTGAACCACCTGTTTACTGGGCTTGAATTCAATGCAGTTCACCTTTTTCTGTCTCTTCAGGAACATCTAGATGAAAAGCATTACAGTAGAAAATAATCATGGCGACTCGCGCTCACGGTTTCTAGAAAAGCAAATGCTTTATTGTTTTTTTCCAGCTGACGCAGACATCCATGCATGGGAAGTGCCATACACAGGTGTCAGAGTATTTGAAAAAGTGTTCTATCAATGAGAAAAAAAAACTGCATTCTGAGTAACGCATTCGTATAGTTTTCGGTATATTGTCAAAAATAACATATAAAGGCAGTGGACCTAAAACTTGTATAGAATGAAAGAAGAAAATGAAATGCAACATTTAAAATTTATTTTACCAAGTAAAATTGGCCTCTGGATCGATTTCGTGCTGTTCGTGCCGTCCACTCTCCCCCCCAAACTCTGGTCTGGTTGGGACCACTATGGGCGAGTTCGAGAACGGCTCCACTCCTGAAACTCACCTGAGAAAGAGGAGGGGGTCAGGATGTAGGCGATCCAGGATTCGAGAGCAGCCAAGCCTAGTGTGGCGCATGCTTCTTGGGATGGAGATCCCTGTGATGCACCGCACCCAGTATGCTGAAGATGACCTAGCAAGGTAAGCAATGGTCGCCAAGTGCCAGTAGCGTATCCTCGGAGTAGTAATTCGGGCAAAACTATGGCTCTGCAGCGGAGCATTGCTATCATGGAATGTGAGTGACGAACGGCCCATATCAGGCAAACAAACCATTGAAGCGTTGGGATTGGTTCCGCTCCCGAAGAATGTCCAGCGCTCACTTCGCTCCCACGATGGCAAGCCGAAAAATTGGATGACCGGCGAAGACACGAGACTTCTTCCAAAGGGGAGCCGTTCCTGAATGCGAAGGGTGGCCCGAAAACTGGAAGCCTGTATTTCTATGCGTCTCGTGTATCGCATGCAAACACTATTTCCATCCTCAGCATTCCAAATGTAACCAATTGATGCGAATCACTCGTGTATGGAGCTCCACATGCTTTGGAGACGGAGGTGGATACCTAATAATACCATCAAATGCTATTGTTACTAGGTCTATTTCCACGCATTGACAAGATTTATGGTGTTAAATTTGTTTTCAAGCAAGATGGTGCGTTATCGAACGCATCAAGGGCAATTGTTGAATTCGTGTTAAACCCAAGAGCCAGGCTCTAGCGAGCTCACCTTGGGGTCATCCAATAGCTCCGATTCATTTCGTAAGGGGTGCATTGCATGAATAAGTCCACTGACACAAAATCAGGAGCATCAATGACGATGGTTGATTCTGGGGAAGCCATGCCCTAGTGCCAGTTGCAGTTTGCAGCTGGACAGCAGCGAGTTTGGTAACTGGCCTACATCTACTGGAACGGAGGGCATACCGAGTTTTGGCATTAAAGTAATAAAAGGGAATATTTAATTCTGAGCTTTGCTTCACAGCTACCACCGCTGTATCACAATTACATCGACTGATGGGTTTTCTTCGGGCCACCCCTGTATTCTTTGTCAATTATATACAACTCATGGAAACATTTCAAGAACAAATTGGTATATTTCAAACACATAGAAGCATTTGACCATACAGTTCCTATTAAACATCACTCTTTTCCATTCTTCCAGTGGCTTGACATAGAAAAAATACAAAACATTATACATTCTCTCACAGGAATTTCACTTCACACTTCAAACTGTATCCTAGCATGGTGAGAGAACATGATATCCAATTGCATGACCCATGATTGCCTTCCTTGCATGTGCTCTCTTATGCCCAAAACTGAGAAGAAAAGGAAAAAAAAGTGCCAGCAAGTCATGTCAAAGAATTCAGCAGACATAATTTTCTCAGTAAGGGGGTGAAGGCTTCAGCCAATGAAACAGCAAAACATAAGATCTCCACTTTGAGATCTTCAAAAAGGGGAGCATAATATTTCCCGCTCAATCATAGGCGAAGCACTAAGAACCAACACTTTTAGGGGCAAGGGAAGAAACACAGAACTATATAGAGAAGAAACAAGACTTCATGATTTCAGCCCTTGGGGGTGAACAAAGAGGAGACTAAAACACTTCCGAAAATAATATTTCATTTCAATCTCCATAGGGATAAAACAACATGACCAAGTGAATATTAAGAATCAACACCATACCCATGCACATCAAGTCAACCATGGTCATCGTATATACAGCTGTCTCATAATTATTTTCTTTTGCTTTATTGCAAGAACAATGCTACAGTGATACTATCTAAAACATACTTTTCCATTACTATATTTACAAACCTCAATATATACAGCATATACAATCATTTATGCCAGGCAGATAACGGGAGAAAAAAATGGACGATAACATTGTAGCACAGGGCAAAAATGGCCAATCCCCTCAAATATAATCTTTCATAGACACTCTAATGAATAAAAAAAAAGGCAAAACAGAAAAAGAGAAGGGGCAACATTCATCCATCGATATCACAAAGTCAATATGCAAGCACAAGCATGAAGATTCCCAGACTTGCTTGCAAATGCAGAATCACTTGATTTGTTCATGATTAAGAAAAGGCAACTCAGAACTAATCCACCCGTGTCTCCTCCACATCACGAGAGAAGATTTGAACTAGATTGTGCCTCAGAGCTCTTGAGACCAATGCAATGCCTGAAGATGTTCATTTTTAGCTACCTGCTCACTTCTTTTGTGGTACGCCTCCGCTTCCCCTGTGGCTCACTTTCAGAATCTGGGGATAGAGATGAGGGACAATGCAATGTCACTGAACAGGATGTGCCATGTAAAAAGCTAAGAATATGTAATCTTGGAATTGTAGTATTTCATCTTAGAATGGCCATAAAGAGGCAATGCAAATGGTAAGCTCAGTGGGTAATATTGGATAATAATGGAATATAAAGGTTACTCATTAAGCTTCTTTTTTTTTTTTTTAGAGCACTTGGGGATTAAATTCTTGCTCCACCCACTCCATCACAATTGAACATGTCAACCCAAGCTGATCCAGACTCAAATATATATATTTTTTATACATATTTTGGATCTATATTCAGAGATTCACAATGTAACTTAGGATGAACCTTTTTTGAAATTCTATATTTACTGGTTTTGACTTAAGACCAATTATGTTTTCTTTAGTCAAAAGCAGAAATATAAAATATTTGGTTGGTAACTCTTAAAATCTTCCTTTCATACACAACATTGAGAGTCAAAAATGACAACAAAACTTTAAAATTTATTTTACACCCCACAGGATAGCAGGGTTCTAGCCAGAAAATTCCCTAAACTAGGCAGGCTCATTGATATACCACTGGGGGCATATGCAACCCCACCCCTCCCCAGCCTCCCAAACCTCTTAAGTTTTTCCAATCTAATTTGAAGATGGAAAAGGCACTTGAAGAAACTTTATCAAATGTAATGTCACATGCATGATTCAAAATTGTTACAATAAATTCAAGGATGTGAGGAAAATACAAGCCCATTGCATCAGCTTCTGCAGAAAGACATGGCCTCTCTAAATACTGGAAGTCCTCAAGAGGAGGAACCTCAATAGATATCAGTGATGAGGCTTTCAGATGATTTTTCCATTTTTGCTTTTATGTGCTTCAGAATAAGCAATAAACATAGGAAGAGCTATCAGCAACCTTATTTTCAAGATAATGAATTTGCACTTGATCATCATGCCCACTAATAATCTGTGAGGGAGAGATTAATAGACTGAGTGCAAAATTAACCCTTTCAAGAGCAACTTGCTGAATAGGGCTTGAGCACATCAAAGGTGTTGCAGGGCACTGTGTCATATATGGATTTCAGAATTTTGGCTTCATCTGAGCAAGGAATTCTGCAAGATATGGTCAGGGAAAGAGCTACAGGGTGCTTCAACAAGTACCATGCATAGGACTACTAATTCATTAGTTTTTTAAATTTGTTTTCTCCTTTGTTCCCAACAGAATAAGAATTCATTTTCATGGAACACTAGCATTTGCAAAGTTGAGCACAACATAGAAAAGCACAGTCATGTACAACTGTCTTGTGCAGCAGAACCTACTCAGGAAAGGATCAAAGATTCATCTTGCAAGAGGGAGAGTAAAACATGAAAGCATGCAGAGGTGGGTTCCTAGGTGGGATTGGAAAGGAGTTTTGCACTTGTGCAACATATTTCCTATGCTCATCATTTTGGACAAACTACTTGAATAGGTTGATGGTATAGGCTTGGGTTGGTATACATGCTCCACTGGCTGGCCAGTTCATACTAAGGCAAAGGTATATGATTGTAGGATTGTTTTTGCAGTTCTAGGTCATCTTCATTGGTTGAGGATATGCCAAGGAAGGAAGCTCCTGCATCAGAAAAGCAGCTGCTTCTTTTTCATTGTTAACACGTTGACGACCAGCCTATTTTTGCTTGTCTGCCGCGTGGGACCACACTCATTTTTTTTGTAAAAAAATGCGTCCTGCCATCAGGACGCATGGTCCCAGAAAACATTTTTTTTTGCAGTTTTTTTAAAATGTTGAATTTTTTGGAATTTTTATCAGTAATTACGAAACCATAATCTTCTGGAACATTCTCAACAGTTCCAGAGGGTATTCATTGAAAAAAAATCTGCATCCTGGCATCAGGACACATTGTCGCCAACGTGTTAAACTGGGCAGCAAAGGAAATGTCAAAACTCTGTGGCCCATCCAGTTATAAAGGCCCTGCTAAAACCCTGGAGAAGGTAAATCTTTCAGGATATCGCTGTATGGACTGTATTCCTTCAGTTTGCTATCATAATCATGAGTAAATGGATCCAACTAGATATACTGGATACTTACTTGAAGCAGGTACACTGTTTCGAGTTTTCCGCTTAGCAGTGTTTCCACCTTGAGCATTGGCGGATGAAGGGACTCCACCAGCAGGAGGACCGGAAGCATTGCTACCATTACTAGAGTTGACATTGGTCTCCTTCCGGACTTGCTGCCTCCCTTTGGCAGCAGCTATTCGCCCTGTTCTTTTTGGTAGTGTCTCCTCTGAGTTGAGGCAACCTTTCTTGTCCCCTTTCTTCATTGGACTGATCACACTATCATGCCATTTTCCCATCCTGTTATTCACTCTGTTCACAGTCTTACCACTGTAACAACAAACACATGAAAAAAGATTTGAAATCTCTACAGGCCAATTCAAAAGGTGAACATCATCTGGAACAAAAGCCTACCTTTCTTTGTGCTCTGGCTCTTTGATGGTCCGATTTCTGGGAGATGGTGGTACAGGAGTCTTGGCACCCATTTTGTCTTCAGGAAGGATTTTCCTCCTACTTCTTCCACCTATCTCCAATGCTTTTCCATCATTTTCTTCAGCAGCGGTGGAATGTTGAGTAGTTCCAGCTGCAATTTCAAGAGTTTATGTTAAATTATTTAAAGATAGGAATCAATGAGGAAGAGCAAGTAGGGCAGGTGATACCCCTCTGACCCCCAAAACACTTTTGCTGCCATGTCAGTCTCTCTTTTCTGACACAGCAATGTAAATCCAATACAGCAAAATTGGCCAGGCAGTGAAAGTATTAAGCATGAAATCCACCACACACTGATGCTTTACACTTAATGGTTAAGGGATCTTTGCCATTTGAGGGGGAAATGTGCAAACTATCCATTCATATTTGGAGACTGGACTGGGTCAAAAAAAGCTGCCTAGATTTCTTATGCTGAATTATGTTACATGGGAGGTGGACTTTATAGGAGGGTCAGAATTTGTCTCACCTACCATACCAGAAGGGTATAGGAGGGGGAGAAAAAAGGGACAAAGAAAATCAGAATGAAAACGAAAAATGATGCTTTCAAGGTGTGATAACAAATCTGAATAATCAAACAAGGTAGTGCCATGGCTCTTTGCCTTTTACCAACAGCTACTGAATATAATTTTCATGTTAAAAAAAATACAAACTGGAAGAAACAGAAGTTTAGAAACAACAACAAACCAAACAGGGATACTGGTACACACCTCGGTTTTTCTTACCACCAGCTGTTGTTCCTGAGAGTTTCTTTGGTGGATCATCATCTTTGTGTGATGCAGATGGAGATTCAGGACCATTTGATGCCTTCCTTGGGGGGTCATCAACTCCCATGCAAGCTTTTATCAATTCTGCTGCATTCTCAGAGCACTTGCGCTTTCCAGGTCTTGAGTGATCAGGTTCCTTCTTCCCGATTTCTTCTTTCACCGGATTTGAGGACTTTGCTGGTGTCTTCTTATCTTCTTCTTTCACTGATGCTTCACCACAGCTGGATTCACTGCTTTTCCGCTTTCCCCTGGCACTTCCAGTTGGACTAGCCTTTGGTCCAGTGGGAACTTGGAATCGTGCCTCACTTTCTGATCGTTTCACTTCTTCTTTTGGGCTTTTGGTATCTGGTCCTGGACTGCCAATTTTTGGGCTATTCAGACGGGCACTTGATCTAGTAGGTCTTGTCTGCTTCTTTTCTTCAACTTCTGCTGGTATTTCGATTGTCAACTCCCCAAGGGATGGAGATGGAGCTTCAATGACAAGTGAATGTGAATCTGCTTCATCCTCAGGCTGACTGCCAGGTATTAGTACTTCAGGACTTGTTGGGTGTGGTGTCTCAATTTTTGTCACATAGTTGTGATCTGATGCAACACTTTCAGAAACTGTATGAGGAGAAGGCACATCACAATTTTCTTCCAATGTCCGGCTTGGTGCACTCACTTCTGAGAGTCCTGCTATCAGTCTTCCCGGGCGGGGTTCTTGAGCAACAGCTTGCTCACTGTCACACTGTAAATTTGTACTAGGGACACCTCCCACAGGAATCTCAGATGCTTGAGGCTTCTGGTAATTCTCCATGGAAGATGGGTGGGGCACCATAAGAGAAGCAAAAGTTGAAGAAGAAACATTAGGGACGAACACTTTGACGGGGCTCGACACAGGCACTATGGCAACCTGATTTTGACTAGAAATGGATGGTTGTGTGTCTGATAATCGAGCTATACTGAGTTCAAGCGACTGAGTGTTCTTCGGGAGAGGCACCACACGCACTGGAACCATCTTTGCACCGACTGGCAAACTGAGGGGAGAGCCGACAGTCAGCCCAAGGAGTGACTCTGCCGTGGCTGGGACCCTAGTGATTGTTCCCGATTGCACTGGCTTTGACAGATCTTTGGCTGCAGGATCGACTTGAGGGGAGGTTTGATTCTTTCCCCCATCTTCTGAGGCTATACTCTCTGGAGGTGGCAGGTGTGAAGGGTTTTTAACGCCCTCTTTGACACCCTCACTTTCCTGAGGCTTCTTTATCTTCTCTGCTTCCTTGTCCATATCTTCTTTCCTGGTTGGACTTTCTCCCTGATTGGGGGACTTCTCTGACAAGGTATCCATGGACTCTATTCCAGAGTCTTCTCCCTGACCATCGCGAGAATGCCCACAAGGACTACTTGCAACTTCCCTTTTTGGATTCATAGCCACATCCTTCCCAACATCTATAGATGGCTCTTTCTTTCCAGCAGAATTTGAGCTATTTTCTCCATGAGTGATGAAAAGAGGTGGATTAGGTGAAATTGGCTTCTGCTGAGGATCAGCTATGACAGGTGAATTTGCTTGATTACCCTTGACTACACTAAGCTGTACTTCGTTTTTCAGACTCTCTACTCGGGGGTGTTGGACCACAAGTGTGGATGAAACAAGTGAGACCTCAACTCCATCAATTGGCCTATCTTTGCTAGAGGCATCTGCCCCATTCCTCAGCATAGGTACATTTTGGGATGGTCTTGGGCCACTCGGTCGAAATGTCCCAATCAGAGTTGGAGAAGGTTCACTGTTGCTTTGATTGATGTATAAGTTCTCCTTTGGAAAGGGTTCTTTCAGTTCAACAAGTTTCACTGCATTCACCAATGAGTCTCTAGAAACAGCAATGGCAACAGTTTGTGCTGCAGGTATGAAAGCAGGCACGTCTGATTTGTGGTGGCAGTCTCCTCCTGAAACTTGCTTCAATGCAGCTGAGAGGGACGTAGAGCCATCTCGGGGTATGGAAGTTCCCTGTGATTTTGGCATCAAGGCTTGATCCAGAAGTGTGGCACTGATTGCACTTGGTTTGATTTGGGTATTCACACCAGCAGAAGTAGCAGTGGCAAATCCAAACCTGGGAAGAAGAGGCCCACTTCCCAAGCTGCATGAAAGATCCAAGGCTAATACTTCCCTTGACAGGTCTGGAATGAAAGACACAAAAATACACTTTTTAATTAGACTTCCACATAGTCATTAGAATTATGTCAATGAAGGATAATGAAGTTGATGAAAACTATGAACTGTAGTCATGTGAAGTTTTTTAAATTGCAAAGGAAAACTTTGTGATGTAAGGAACTCACCACTGGTGACAGACTTGTACAATGCTGTCTTCTCTGCAATGATAGGTGTAGCAGCTACAACAGCAAGTTTCTCCAACCTCTGACTACTGAAGGAAGGGGCACTTGCTGCAAGCAAGCCTTCAGCAGTACAGGGTTGTTTCCCATTTGAGATCGAAAGTGAATCAGCATACATATGCACTACTGCATTCATCACACCGCACACCTGGCTCTCGGCTGTGGAAGGTAGACTACGCTTCATTCCTGAGCTAACTGCGGAGCAAATCAAGTCTGGTAGTGGTGATGTGCAGGTCATTTTCACGTTTGTTCTCAGTGCAGTGTCCACCAAAGTTGCTTTATCACCACTAGAACTATCACCAACACTAGTTGAAACCATGTCAGGGGAAGAATTCATGACAGGTTTCTTCTTAAGAGGCTTTCGCCGAGGCTTTGGCTTGGGAACACTGTCACTCTGTGTCCCCATAGCCTCTGCATTCTCACTTGGGGGCATGAGCCTTGCTGTCATCACATCAGCACTAGACTCACAAGCATCCAAGCCAGTAGCAATATCACCCTCAGCAAAGTTGTAGATGTCTGGGAGCTTTGTCTTGGCAGTCTTCTCAGGTGACTGCTTTAACCTTGCCCTAGGTTTCATCCGTTTCTCATTCCTCAGGTCAGGACTGGTGGCAGGAACAAGGGGGATGCCCAATTGACTTGGGTTCTCATCTTCTGGTGACTTCTTGAGAGGCTCCTTCTCATCGGTCTTGGAACCCCCAACCACCACTGCTCCACGTCCCTTTAGAGATATATGGAGAGGCGGAACCCTTGGCTCAATGCCCCAAGAGAAAGGAGCAGAAGCTGATGGCACAATTGACCCTGGCAAATCAGTTGGAGTGTTCCCACTACCAGTAGCAGTTTTTCCTCCTGGAATGATTTTCTCATTCTTTTTCATGTTTTGCATATTTATGAAGGATAGATCAACCTTATAAGCAGGTTCATTCTTCTCCAATTTCAGTCTCAACTTGATTTTTTCACTTGGACTAGATGCAGATCCAACAGAATCTCGGGAGGTTCCAGGGCTAGAGTCCCGAGACTTGACTTTTTCTGGACGTGAATTCTTCTTTCTTGACTCTGAACTGGCAGAAGATTTCACATCTGAGTCTGAATGATCTGTTTCTTTTCGTGGATCTGAAGCACTGAGTGGAGTTCCTTCTTCATCAGAGAACAATGAATTGGCTTTCTCACTAAATGGTGAAAAGGGAGGGTTCTCTGGTTCCGAGTCAGAATTTTCTGAATCTGTGGGAGCTGGTTCCAAATCTCCAGTAAGGGGATTAATGAGAAACTGCCTGGGCTTCCCAGATGAAGTCAATTCAGGAGATGGTGGTTTTGGACATGTCTCTCCCTTTGCTTCTCCACTCGTTCCAGGGTATGGTGGTGGTGGTCGATTTGGTGGGAATTCTCTAACCATTTGTGGAGGCACACAACTCTGAGGCTGAGGGGTCAATATAAGTCGACTCACTTGCTCCATGTTCATGCCTACATCTGTGACAGGCCGAATAGGGACAGACAACGTCCTTGTATAAGTCAAATGTGCTGGCTGATTTGTTGGTGTCCCAACAGCTGCCACTATGGGTGTCTGAGTGCCTATGGAGCCATTGTTCACAGATGGATGATGGAGACGTTGACCAGAGAATTGGGGTACCAGAATTGGCATGGTTTTCTTAGAAGATTGCTGAATTCCCACTAATGATGTGGCCTTCTCTCCTCCTGGTTTTCCAATCTGCAATAATGAGGGATCAAAGGAGACTGGGCGTGCCAGAGTGGGTCTTGCAGGGACCTCTGTAGGCGGTGGTGGAGAGAGGTTCAGGTTTGGGATGTTGGGCAACGAGATGTTTGCAAGACTGAATGAGGCAGCTGAGGTGTTTACACAGGATTCCTTGGGTGCAACATCAGATGACTTCTCCTTGGGCTTCCTCGGTTGCCTGGGACGCTGAACTTTCTTCTTTTCAGGGAAATCAGGTGAAGGCGTTAAGAGGACCTGAGATTGAACAGCTTCTGATTGAAGTAAGTTCACCAACAAAGGGCTTGAACCTGAGACTTCAGCACTGAGTGGTTTTGTCATAGCATTTCCAGATGACCCTGGTAAGGAGGGCCCAGGAGGTCTTGTGTTCACAGGACCTGAAGACACACTCGATACTGTCAGTGTGCTTGTCTCAAGGGCACAGAAGTTGCTTTGTACCTTCTGGGCATGAGAAGGATATGGAGGAGGAGGAAGCGAAGTGGAAGCAGAAGTAGTACTGGTAGTGGTGGTGGAATTTGGAGAGGGTGCAGTACTTAATCCAGGAGGGTGGGGGGACACAAAAGTGGCAGATGTGGATGAGGGTTGAGTGCTCCTCTGTGGTAAGCCCTCCCTGTTTTGCATGGTGTATGCAGCATGAGTCATACTTGCAAAGGGAAACGGTCCCAAGCGGTTTCCAGGTACAACACGCCTGTTGATTTGACAAGGAGGCACAAAAGGAACCGGGTCACTCTGAGGCAAAACCACATTGGGACTCTTGAACGGTTCATTGTCCTTCTGGGAGCTGTTAGTCCCGAACCGTTCAAAGACAGAGGCTGCTACTGTAGCATTTGAAGGTGGGCTGACAGTGCTGCCTGATGACAAAGGCAATGACACTGGAGGAGCCTGATGGCTGGGTTCCCCTGAAGTGCTCGGACCTGCAATTCCTCCAGAGGCAGCATACTGACTGCTGAGAGTCAATGAGATCACCTGCCAAGACAAATGAGCAAAATGGGAATCATGCCATTTCCTTCACACTGGTCTGCATGTACTGAGCCCTTCCCATTCCAGTCAATCCAACTAGAAAAGTATAGCCATTAGAGTAGTAAATATACCTGATCACCCTCTACTTGCACAGAGAGAATGCCCAAGTCTCTCAAGGAGGAGGACCCTTCCTGTGCAAGCTGTCGGAGTTGAAGAGCTGCTTCACGGGGGATCTTCAGGGTTACCCGGACTGAATTCCATGGCTCCACCTTGGCTATTTGCACCTGTTCTTTATCTGAGCAAAAGATAGAACAAGAACTGTCAAATGGAGGGAAGAACTCAAGATCTTAATAGCAGTCTACATGAGTCAAGGCCTAGTTTTATCCCTGCAGAAATGGGTTTCCTAACAAAGATAAGGGTAAAGTCTTAATCTTGAACCCTTGTGCAGTCCATAAATAGACAAAGGCTCAAAACCTAACATCAATCAGATGAGTGTCACTGCTGCTGATGACAAATGGAGGTAGACTCAGCAGAAAGTAATTTCAATGTCAATATTAAGCCCCTTGGAAATGTGAAAGTGGTGGATATAAAGCTGATTTATTCTTAAAGCAACTAAATTCAAGACATGAGTTCCCAAGCAACACATAGAGGAGATAAAGAGTTTTAGTGGACCTAGCTCCCCTCAAGACATACCCTGACTGCATAAGGGTACGTGCTTCAATGGCTAAGTCAACTCACTATGTTTCCATGTACTCTAGGGATGAAGTGCTTTAAGTGGGGGACAAACTCTCATGAAAATATGATGCAGTAACTTGAGCCAAGATTAGATAAGTTGAATTTAGCTAAAAGCACTTCAACCTTTGTCTGAAAAATGATCTATTCATGGAATGGGAAATGTAAATGTTATGGAATAAATGGTCCAGTTATAGAAGGCTACATACTCTGGCCTAAAACAAGTCCCAATTCAACTTAGAAGAATCATGTAGAGGCCTGTGGTTTTCAAGAAAATGGAGAGGATGGATACCTGAACACATTAAAGAGCAAAAGGATTTTCTTTATTGGTCTGGTCATTCATAAGTAATTATTACCTTTCCAAAAACATTAGATAAAGATTAATTTTAAAATGCATGTTTACATTATATATTCAGGGAAATCTTTCATCAAAGTGATACAGTCAAAGCCTTACTCAAATATGGTTCATTTCCTCCATATTGGCTTTTTGCTTATATAAAATTATCAATGTTACTAATGATTTGGGTTTTTTGCATGAAACTCAGCAAGCATCACTGTTTTATGTATATCCATGCCAACCCACGGGACTTTTAAATAGCCTGTTATTGGTTAGAAGGTTAATGTAACCCACATGAAAATGTAGAGATGGAGGTCATCCAGGTGGCAGAAGAAGTTGGTGCACAAGGGTACAAGACTTCTACAAATGAACTGCAAGCAAAAGCCAGATTTTATATCTCAGGTATTCATGCAGTAGGTAATTACACAATCAACTCACCTTTGCACAAGATACACTTGAGCCCACAGACAATCACAGTGAGTTGACTACAGAATGAAGGGTCTTTAAGATTCCCTCTGCATATGACCACAGCCTCCAGGAGGTCATCTTTGGCATCACAGCCCATCTCTGTTTTAGAGAAGATGAGTATAAAAAAACCTACATCTGTTACACAAGAGATCATCAGCATATTATAAATAAATGTTTGGTAAGAACCACAAGCTGAAAATACATAAAACTACAGATAGCCTATTGAGCTTCCAATACTAAGAATAATTGATGTACCGGGGAGAGATAAGCCATTCTCACTTGTTAGTTCCTTATACTTGTATCTTCTCTGGGAGAATGTCTGTAACAGACCCTCAACTCTCCCAAGAAGCTGGAACTTCTCTTTTCAGAGCCCCCAACTTGTCATATTTATGAGACCATTCTACAAAGAAAAGAGGTTTGCAAGAGCTCAATTTCTCCAGAAGTATTACAGATGATACATAGAATAGTACCTTAGAGAAATTACTGGTACGAATTCAATTATGTCTGAGCAGTTGATAATGTTGTGAATAACTTTAGCAATGAATTACTAGCAGCCAATCCTCCAGGATTCTCACTAACATGAAAGCATAGCAGAACTGGATTCCCAGAATAGGAGGGAGGGAGGGAGTTGTTGACATTTAAGATGACCATAGATCATCATACAAAGATGGGTTGGTACTTTAGAGGCCAGGATGAAACAATTAAAGTACCATAATGACAAGCCAATAGCCCATGTTCAACATTATAAAAAAAGGACAAGATTACTCAACACTGGACATTACAGTTTTCATTTATCAATGGAAAAAATGGCAACAGCACATCAACCAACCATGCATGTTTCAACAGGTATGATCCTGAGTTCCCTGGAAGCCAGGCAATTAACTCCATGCTGTTACTTTCTCTGGCCCCTTAGCAACCCACTTCTCAAAGCAACTACCTCTTCATAAGTCTCCTTCACTTTTCCACCCAAAAGAAAAGAGTGATTTTCAACTCCCAAGGTATGAAATGAGATAACTGAATCAAACTGTTTTGTAAAGATATTTATAATAAAAAAAACATCTTCCTTGCAAAGCTGGCATCAAAGAGAACCTCTAGGAAACCCAAATTGGAGGCTCTTACATTCCTCTATTCTCACATACCCTACTAGCTTCAATAAATTCCAGCAGAAAACTAAAATACATGATCAATGAATACTTTTTTTTTCATTTTGGCTTGGAATGGGTGGTTACTTGTTCTTCCAGACAAAAGGCATAATAGAGTTAAATTCAGCATTAACCCTTTGACGAGTATGCCCTGTATATATATATATATATATATACAGGCTGATATCCTCCTGCCCTCCATGTATTCACTACGGGTGATCCAGGTGTAAAAAAAACCCACTCCTCAAAGGGTTAAGGGTAAATTTTGATTTTTTTTTGAAGCAGACTCACTTGTATGAAAAGGTAAAGACTTAAGTATCAGGCAGAGCAGTGGAGGGGTAGCTGGTAAATTAAGGAATTTTTCCAAACTGTCAGAGGCCAAAAAAATAAAAAAATGAACAAATTCTGGGTTAGTTGGATTACAAAGAGTAACACTTACTTGGCCCAATACCAAAGAGATGTGATTTGCTTGTTCTGTTTGCTTCCCCCCCCCCCCCTCCCCCTTTGACATTTCAAGGTCATGACCAGAGGTTGCAAGAGACCAGTTAGTTTTGTATTTGTGTAAACCCAAAAACAGTTTATTGAAATGCCAATACGATTCTTACAGGAGAACCAGAAGATGGTAAAGCTATGAAGGAATATAGCATCACTGTCACTTCATACAGTGAGTCTAATCACTACTGCAACATAGAGAGCTGAACAATGCATTAAGATAATTGAAAAGTGAATTTAGCAAATTTATTAACTTTAGAAACTTCTGATAGTTGCCACTACATGAAGTGGGCACAATACTTCCAGATTTAGTCTCATCTTCCCCTTACTGGGGTTCACCAGTAAACATATACCTTAACCCACAAAACTGTGAGTGCAAATCTGGAGAATGGCTAGAACCATTTTGCTGCAAAAAAATTAGTCTAATTACATCACAAAGAATCAAGCATATGAGACCTCAAATGATGCCTAGATTTAATGCCAATTTTGTCAAAGATGAGTTGCTGATCAGATATAAATAGTTCTGATGGCAAATGTACTAATGCCACTAGTATCCATTATTTTTCTCACCTGCATTTTTCACAAAGAGCCACAGCTTCTCTATGACTGAACATACAATCTATGATTCAGCATCAAGCCATCTATAAAAGACACAAGGAACATGAAACTCATCATCACTGACATCCACAGAAGGACTAGGACTAAGTCAAGGCAAAGGTTTTCTACAGTAAAGTAGTTTAATCTAGGCTTAGTTGTCTATTTAAACCCAACCCAAAGAAAGTCAAACTTAGCTTTCATTGACCAAAAGGGACAGACCAATAAATGGACTCTCTTCATATTCAGCCAAGAGCATCAGCTAGAGCAGCAGATTTTATCACAGATTAAATGAGGAAAGAAGCCCTTACAAGTAGCATCAAAACAAACCAGAATTCTAAAGTAGAACAGAAAATAAGTGAGACCCATGAAAGATTCATCTTCTGAGAAGGTAAATGAAACAGAGCAATAGCAAAAATCTTATTTCATTCATGATAGAAAGAGGTGTACATCCTCTGCTTCTTCTTGTCTTGTCTGGAATGTGGAGCAAACCTAGAGCACTTTGAGATTTTCATATTTTCAGCCCTGTCAAAGTCTTTATTTTGGTCTAAAGGCATTGAGAAGTAATTTTCAATACAAACTCCTAGAGTCTCATGATCTAAATTTTAATGAAACAGTCAATTTTTTCTTTTCTTACTTTTTGCCAGAACTGTACCAATAAATGAAGTAGTCAGAGCTTCCCTTGTGGAAGAACTCTTCAAAGTTTGCAAGATTTCTCTAAGGGTCCTGGTGACAATAATTTGGATGCTTCTCTCCCTAACATAGATCATAACAGAAAGAGGAGATTTGAGAAGATGGGAAAAGAACGGTGAAAAAATAATAATAAAATTTTCTTTATTCCCTTTAATTTCTTCTTTTGAGTTTAAAGGCTTTCAAGGCAACTTATAAATTTATTGATAAAGAAACAATTGTCTAAGTAGGCTACCAGTATGCCTAAATGGATTGAACTTTTTACCCTTGATCTGATCCACTGCTGCCCCAAAGATTATTTGAACCATCACTTGTGTTGAGATACTAACTAGGGCAGGTCAAAATATTTAATAACCTGATATCATGTCAATGTTACCTGAATATATACATATATATGCTTGTAGTGGGTCATCCACCAGCTTCAACCATGACCTAACATAAGCCGCATCTGGGAATGGAACCCTCTAAACTCAGGAGTTAGTCCCAATCAATGACAGGGGTTACGCTAAGTTTCTTGTTGTAAGGGTCCCTGGGGCCCTCAGGTCTGATATGGAAGGGTCCTCTGATATTAAGGGGGTTACTTTCCTAGTGAAGCACAAGGGAATCATGAAGGGTTCCACAAAAGTAAAAGTCTAGCAATCCATGTTTATTTGCCAACTTAACATAACCAAGCAGAATAATATTCAATTCAGCAGTCTTAGATCTTCTGCCTGTGCATCCCAGGGGTCTTGGGATCCTCAGGATGCATGGGCAGGAGGCCAGGGCAAGAAACCTAGCAGAACCCCTGAATGACATACTCACTTGAATGTTAGCCTAGGGCTAGTCTAGCCTAGACCAAGCATGGACCAAACCATTGCATAGCCAAATTTTATTTAAACAATATTTGATTTTAAAAAATATAAGTAATAGGTGCACTTGTAATAGATGAAGAGCACTTTGCATTAAGCATTATTTTTGATGAGCCTAAGCTCTTCATGGGATTAACTTTAGACAATTAAAATGATAAGCATGTGTCACTGGCAATTATACATATTTTTATTCTTCAGTCATCTATGCCTATTCAAGAAAGTGTAGGCAAAGTCTAAGGCATGCAGGTTTTAGACTCTCTTCTGCAATTCTCCCTAATGCATTTTTACTTAATTCATGGCTTTTTCAGCAATTCGTTTTCATGTCCCATGAATACAGCAAACGAAGAACAATCACATGCAGGCCTGAGTCCATCACATCCCTGGTGAATATACAATAAATTTTAAATATTCAAGCATCAAACGAGTGCCAGGAGAATCATGGGCTTAGACCAACCATAAAGCTTGGTCTAGGCCTGCTATTTCCCCATTGCCACTTCCAGGATCATTTTGGCTTTACTGCATTGTAAAGTTCTCTACCACTCATTTCTCCTTGTTTGATCGTCACAATCAGTTGCATTGAAAAATTTGTTGAAGTGGAATCATGCAAGTAAGGTCTGTCTTCATGTTACATTTTATGCAGAATCCATGTTGCTCCTCATGTAAAAAGCCACCCCCAAGGAAACCCATTAAATGCTTATAAACAAGTAATTCAATAACTTCACTCAAGGCAGAGGACAGAAATTAGTCTATAATTACTCATATCCTTTAAGTCTTCTCCCTTGATGATAAGAGTCACTTTTGCCAGTTTTAGTATTGTGGGGAATACACCCATTGCAAAAGATTGATTTACCACATGAGCAACAACCTTAGTTTCTTTGAGGACTCTTGGATTTGCCCAAGTGTGCACCTGTTTATCTACACTTTTCCCTTTGAGGAGTGGGTTTTTTTTATGCATGCAAGATTCCCTGTGATGAATATATGGAGGGCAGATAAGCATCAGCCAGTATATATGCAGGCATACTCCTCAAAGGGTTCATGTCTAGACACATGACTTTTCTTTCTCTTCTGTGATGGGTCAAGTACATGGACTGATGAGAATTACAACTCTTATTGTCAAGATTTTCTTGTGAGATTAGTTCTGTTTTCACTATTCCCAAATCAGTATTGCCCCAATTTCACTAAAATATTTGGCCAAAGCATCTGCCATCTAATTATCTATATTATGATTCGTCCCATCCTTGGTCATCAAATATTCAGGCAAGTTGTTTTTCCTCCCATTTTTCCACCAATTTCACTTATTATATTCCATGTTTACTTATATTTCCTTCTGCTTTTACAAAATCCTTCCTGTAATATTTTCTCTTCATCAATCTCTTGAAATGGTGATATTCGCCTTCACATTGGTGGTATGCTACTTTTTACTTGCATTTATAGATCACCCTTTACTATATCAAAGAGTTTGCCTCTATTGTCAAGAGATTTCAAAAGACCTGGTGTCAACCATGTTTTTTTTTTAGTAATGATGGTACTACACATATTCCTGATCTCACAATGTCTGCTATTAAGCTTAATGTAAATAAATTTGTTGTAGGCCTCATCAATGGAAGTGGTCTCATAGACTCTAGCAAATATATCTCATGAATATTCTTCTTTAATTAATCCAAGGTAGAAAGGAAAAAAAGGAAACCAGAGCTTCAATATTCCTGTGGATGGATTTTTTGGATTTTTACTTTGATCTATTCAACAACACTTAAGTTGGTTGATGATCTGATCCACCATAACTTATTGGTCCATGATTCACAATGAAATTTGCTTTACAGAATATGTGATCCAACTGACTTGCTCCTGTTGTACACATTTTTGTTGGTAGGCTCAACAATTTCTGAAACCCATTAGATAACATGTCAAATCTAATTGGTTCCATCTGAATTCCACCTTTTCAAAGTCAATTTTCAAGTCCCCTACTATTACACATTGGCTTAGCCTGAAAGTAGGGGATGCCATGCAGTTAGTCAACCTCTACTGAAAGTATTGTATTTGGGTCCCAGTGGGCCTATATAGCAGCATCAAGTTTAGTTTCAATGCACCCTTTTTCAAGTAGTTATAAAAGCTTTCTGCCCCATCGTTTTCAACTTTCAATATTGATTGTTTCAATTCCTTCTTTTATATACAAAGCAAGCCCCCTTAATTTTCTGTCGTGCCTGGAAAATCTGCTCATATAAGTTTCTGATAAAGCTATGACATAAAAAAGTAGGCATCAATTTCAGGATAAGAGACCTATTATTCATTCATGTCCAGAGCTTCCTTGTATTCCAAGATAAGATACAAAAACTCTCTTTAGCCAATGTAGAAATGGTGTCCAAAAAATCCTCTACTGAGGAATGACCTATGTTCAATCCATTAAGGTCTCCTAGCACAGGGGGTCCAGTTCATCCTCTAGCCACCAACCTTTCTACAAATGGTTATATCCAAGTCCATTCTGTACTATTTATTCTCTTCAGTGAAGTTAATTGTGCCTTCGTAGGCAACTACTGCCACAAGATGCTATTTAGCCTAATCCTCTTTAGCCAAATCCTTCTCAAGTCTGATAATTAGTGCTCAACCCCCCTCCTCCTTATGGATGAAGATTTTGCCAAAAGAGTCCCACAGATATTTCCACTTTTTGTACTCTCTTTTTTGGGCAGTCTGGTAGAAGAATAACCCCATACATTAGTGAGATATCACCTTGAATAGATCCTTGACACACAAAGGCAATCCATGAGCCAAGTTATATCCAGAGAATAGGTTAAAGTCATCATATCACATGCAGTCTGACACTTCAGGCATATTTAAGTTGCATTTAAATCCGAGGCCACATAGTATCACAGTAAGAAATGTTAACTACTTCAAGGATTGTTTATGGCCATTTTGGTTCATTTCTGCAAAGTTTCCAGTCATTACATGAGTTCCCTGACACCAAGATGCAACAGTCACTTTACAACACAACTCCATCTAGCCTTTGCATTGGGTTCTCCATATTTTGCTCCTTTAGGTTTGCAACTAACCGTGCAAAGATGACTTCAACAATACAAAATTGCAGTAGCCCAGCCAGTCACATTTCCACCCAGAACACACATTACAGCCTGAAGCATATGAACATGCTCAGGCCTTTGAAATACTTTCATGAGCCCTCATTGTGATGCCTCAGAACTGAGCCTATCCACACAGAAAGCTACAGAAATCCACCCAACAAGCAACAAGCACCAGTCGAACCTTTCAGAAAATTCCACCCAACAGTCAATCTTTCATTAAATTGTTTGGATATCACAGGCTTGGGTCAACAGACTGGTGTTCGCATCGTTTGGGATAACAGAACAAGTCATGGCGTCTCTTTGATTTGGACGAACGTCACGCCTCTCGTGCCAACATGCTAGCTCGACTTTGTGCAAAAGTCTTAAAGGTCACATAGGTTTAGGCCTTGTATGCTCTTATAATGGTAGCTAAGTAAATAAACAAAGTAGTTCCGCAGTTGCAGTTGCGATTATTTCGACTGCTACGAGGCTTGAGAATCTTTAAGAGCTCGGCTTATGAGGGGTCAGAACACACGCAGTAATTCGCAAGTAACGGGAATTAAACGTCGCCGAATCTGAAGATGCACCAATATGATATTCCTACTTTGATTTTCTACATATTCTGTTGCGTTCCACGATATCACATTCACTTTCAGGAGGAAACATCAGGAACATTGGGACTCAACAGAGAAGAACGCCATGAATGTCCACTTAGGGCCGCCATTTGCAATGACCCCTCGCGTCATGCGCAGAACCATCGCTGCGGTGGCTCTCATAGGGCTGTACACGCTGAGCTACGCTCCCTCCAGAAGAATAGCGTAGGGTGCCTTCTTCCATCCATTGAGCGTTGCGTATGCCTTTAACGAATATCATACCGAATTGCGAATGGCCTCTTCGTTCTGAGAGATCTTCAGAATAATTTCCTAGAGTATTCCTCTGTATTTGGTTGTTTTATATTTGAATTTTGCCGTTTGGTTTAGAATTCACGCAATTGAAATATTAAATAGAGAAAAGTGGATTGAACAACCTGTACCTCGTAGTCGAGAGCATGAGGAAAGCGAGGAAAGTGCCTGGCATTGAACCAGGAACATATGAGCCCTCGTGGTTTGTTACTTGCGATTCAAACATGTCATGTGACTTGATGAAGCCTACTTAGGCAATCGTTCACGCCTCACATTTCCCAACTTTAATATTTAGGTTTGTTAGGTCTAGGTTGTTTGTTTCTTATTTTTTTGTTGTTTTTCCAGTTGCGCTCGATTGGATAATCGTCAAGTTGAGGGATTCTCCTTATGCCTATGATTTCTTTCAGTTTCACATGACCCGGGTTCGAAACAAACCAAGTCAAGCGTTTATTTGCAAGCACAGGGCCCGGCGCACTTGGGAAGGAGACCCCTCGAGCACTCGGCACTTATCTAAATGTTGGACCTTGAGAACTCCGGTGGTGATGACCGAATCTGGGTAGCGTACCTCTGGAGTAGCCACTCAGACAAAAATTAGTCTCCCAAGGTACGATGACGTTATGGGGGAGAGCGGATTAGCTTGTAAGGCAGAGTTTAGGGCACATTCATGCGCCTTGAGTATCTTGAGCATGGTATCTCATACCCATCATATCATATGGTTAGGTAAGGTTTAGTTATTCTAACGTTAACCTTTATGTTGTAAAGCAGATCTAGGCCTAACATTAGACCAAAAAGATAATTTTACAATGCATTTCTTTTGGCTTGTAGACTCCACTTATCATTTTATTTGAAACTTTGACACAATATAGTTTAAGTGCAATGAAAGTTACTAAATTCGATTGCAACATCATTGATGAAAATTATTATATTTTCCTAAAATTGAAGCCCTTTCATATTCATCATGTTTTGATGTTATACCTTGTTAGGTTCTGTCCAATAATACTTGAAAAGTAAGTTCCCTCATGATTTTTGGAAACCAGAAAATCCAAGAAACATATGAAACCCATCACTAATATTATGCAAAGTGCATTAATGACATTCTTTTAGATTACTCAATATTTGTCCACTCTACACTTCTTTTCAAAATTAAAAATTGACTAATAACTTTGTGTGGTTAGCATCAGTCTCATATGTGCAAACAAGTTTTTCTTATAATTTGCCACTAGTCTTGTATTGTCTAGTCTTCTAGTCTTTACTGCATCAACTGATCAAGGAGCAATGCATTATGACACTTCCAGCACCCCACTAATCTTGTCTGATATATGCTGTCTTTTGGTTTGCTGATTACAGTGATAGCCAACCACTAAAGTGGTTTCATCATTTTCCATGAGTCTGGTTTACATTCACTCCATCCAGTAGGCAACAATATATGAGCACCATCTGTTCAAATTGGACAAACTTCACCAAGGCCTCCAGTACTAGCTTCATCTTAATTTAATTTAATTCCATTGTCCTCCTTATATTTAATCTCTACTGTGGTATTGCTCCCAGAACAAAACAGATATAATTTCTTGCCCTTGCAGTCTCTTGAAAAATTTTATTTTTGAAAATACCAGGACTGATACAGTTGGCCATAATAGAGGGATGCTCCTCCACCCAAAAATGCATACATCCATGGATGTGCTTAGCTCATATTCATGTGAATAAGTTTTATTGGGAATATAAAGTTCATAAGATAGTACATTGTGTATTCATGGCAGTTGAATGCAGGTGTAGGCATATATGGAGAAGAGTCTTCATTTTCAGGTCTTCCACTTGATGGGTTAATGTGCAGTGCACATTCCTCGCAGTCATTTGTTTTAAAGCTGGCGGGTCATGCTGATTCTACTCAAGAACAGAAGAAGCAGTTGAAAGATTTGGGTTATGAAAGCCATCATTCATCTGTGATCTTGCCTCATGATACGAAAGAAACTGCTAGTCTTACAGGTGACTCCCATATATTCTTCATGCAGCCAGTTTGAATATCAATGTTCAAGAGCCTCCTATTGTATGTCTGCTCTTTTGTGCCCCTTAGATCTGTGCAATGAATCTCACCTAACTGAAGTGGAGTTTATCAGCCTTCTACGGGAGCAGATACCTCAGTACAAACTCAGGGCAGATACGCTTACACAGTTTCGAGGTATGTTTGAGTTATGGTGTGCTACGGATACCTATGAGTGTATTTGGGTTTCCGTATGCCATGTGATATGCTTTGAATAAACTAAGCTGTGCGGAAGTCGGAGCCAGAAAATCGAAAAATGAATATAAGCATAAGCTAAACTCCACGGTCGCATAGGGTACGTCGCTTGTAACGATGTGGTATCAACCGCCCATTTTGGTGGACATGATGTGACAATTGACCACGGGGCCGTCAACGTTTGGTGCAATACGGACGGAATCTGTTCGTTGACGTGACGAGTTTAAACTACATCTCCGTTCTAGAGAGGTCTCCTTTGTCGCACCTTCTGGGTCATGACCCAGAACGAGGTTCCTCGCGTATTTGAGTTTAGCCGTCGAGGCTGGAAGGGATACCTCAGTGCTCATGTTTGACCCCGATATTAGTCAAGATTGGAAGCTCGTCCATGCATAAGGACGTCAGCATTTGTAAGGCTTCCAACGTTCTCAGTGCCGCTAATTAGCTGTGATTGTTAATTTAAGAAAATGTGTTAATTCTATTAACTTTGCGCAATTTTATTGATATTTTTCAGCAGCCTGGTTCTCTCCATCCATATTCGTCCGTAGTCTCTTTGCCCTACGACGAAAACTAGCTGACTCGAATTACAGCATTGTCGGTGCGGACTACTCTTCACTCTTGTCCCGTCAAACCGATTCAGAATTTCATTGGCCATGTTCCTATTTTCCGACTGGCTGAACTTCATTATAGGTGTTTCAATTCCCAATTACCTCCTTTCTCCCCCAGGGATATTCCACTGGTGCTACGCTCGATGATTATTGAATGTAAGACAAAAATGAAGATATTCTTCAAAAATGATTGCAAATGGGAGCCTGCCTTTCCTTCCGTCGATGCCTCGATTGTCTTTTGAATTTCCCTCACCTCAACGTTTCTTTCTTTCCCGCGGGAAAAAAAGATAGGGTAGATAATAGGAACCTGCTCCTGTATAGCCCCAGGGTAGAGATCGTCACTGGCGACATCTAACTAAAAATTTTAAAAGGAATGACGGAGCTTTTTCACCACTGTTTGTCTCCACTTCGAAGCCGGTTCTAAGAACGTATCTAGTTGAATGGCAAAGGGGAAACGTTGTTGAATGTAATATTCGGCCTTTCCACTATCGGGAAGAGCATATCGCCATTTGCAGGCTGTAGGCCTATCTCTTGTGATTCTCTCTTTCCTCCCTCTCACATCCCCATGTGTTGGCCTTGGTATGACGACATGGAAGAATGACGTCAAAGGGCATGCATGAGTGTTCCTAGTATCTCCGAGTAACGCTAGATGGTAGGAGCGGTTGCTGTGACGAAACCCGTCAGGCTTTAGTTTCCCGCCTCCCCAGTAGGTGTCGCCTAGCTCCGATCAATGTTGTCGGTAGGCAGAAATATCTGGGAGCGGGGGGTGGAGAGAAGCTGTGAAGGGGAGAGAGGAGGATCGGTCTCTCTCTCCTCTTCCTCAGCCGTCTGTCGCTTCTCTTGGTGTCATGTGTTTCCCTCGCCTCTCTGTCTCAAGCGACTTTCTTTTCGATCATTTTCTCATCTATACATAGCTCACGGATTTACAGAGTTTGGTGGTCGTGCATTTTCACTCGACATTGGTCACGCGAAAGGGCGCTTTCTCTGATGGCGACGGGGGTCCACTTGATAAGACGCTACTTTCCGGAGTGGAGGCCCGAGATTTTTCACCTGCCGAAGGAGTAGTGGTTACAGGCCGGCGCAGAGACGGAGGGAATGTGTTGACCTCGTATTTCCGTTTTTTCCAGTGTGCCGAATCGCTTGTATGATGAAGAGCTTTAAAAGTGGGCTTTTCAAGTAGGATTCGATACAGTACTTTAAAATAAAAAAAAGAAAGAAACACGCGTATCTTAGCGTTAAAAAATGAGGCATGATTATAGTGGGCTTGCCGAGTCCAGAGGAGTATCACTTTTTCTGGTGACTTTTTTTCCCACAGGTTACGAGAACGAGGACTGGTGTGTACCCTTTCCCGCGCTGAAACTCGAGGACGAAAAAATAGTGCAATTCAGCCCAGAATTCATACGGGAGACCTTCAATTACTTTAGTACGTTTACCATTTTCCCCTTTCAATATTGTGGTTGTGCCTGACTTGGAAGGGAAATGACCATCGTCTGCGAGTCATGAGGCCGATGACTAAATCACCCTGAGCTGACTTGAAATTTCACATCGTAGGGGTGCATTATCTTATTGACAGTGACATAAAAATTGCAATTGGCCTATTTGGGGATGAGGGTTGATGAGAGAATTGCTAGTTCTCTGATGCTATCTCGAGTCAACCGCAGAAACGGACGCCGAACGTTTTCGGTGTCGTGAATGACAGGCGAAGGTCGGGAGCAACCGTGGCGAATTAGGTGTGAGACCGGAACGTCTTACGTACAGATCTCTTTGCTCAGTGGTGATTTCTTTAGTGTTTATGAGACGGTGTGTCTGTGCAGTGGCCCATCGCCAGAACGGGAAATTTCTTCGGAATTTTTTTTTCGCTTTTGCGGTCGGGATCTCGTGAGGATAGATGACAGATGTTATGTCGTACAAGTAGTATTTTCGAAATCGGTTGTCAACACTTGACGAGTCTTAATCGTTGACCCGAGGTCACCGGAAAGAGGGGGAAATAGCTTGCCCGGGGGCTTCATTACAGCACCTCGGGTACTTTCTTCTTGTACTTAAGTACGCACCCTCAATTACCCCTTCGAGAGGATATTCTCTCTTCGTCATGGGATCGGCGGGGAACCGAGTGCACCATGAGAAGTGCATGAGTATCCTCGGCTCCTCGATTCGCGCTGCGGTTTCCCACCGCACTTTTGCATTACTGTAATGAGCACGCTGTGAGACAGGTAAGCTCTCTCTCCCTGACCGCGATGAGTCGCCGAAACCTGCATAACGATTCCGTGCTTTCCTTCTGAGAGAAGGAAAAGAAGTGAGGGGAGATTGAAAAGGACCATTATCATTGCCTTCATTCTTGTCTGCGAAAAATTCTCCTTCCTGGCACGAACCTCTAATTGGATGGCCTTGGTGGAAATGAGAATTCTTGCCTTCCGTGCCTCAAGGCATTAAAAAAAAGTGTCCCATCTTTGCCATTGACTGTGGGACCTTGATATGAAGAGATCCTCCATCCTCTGTTGTCTCTTTTTTTCTCTTAGTAACACGGAATGTAAACAGAATTGGGGTCAATGCATTGGACAGTGAAACCAGTTTTTTTTTTTAATTGTTGACGATGTGGGAATGATACTGTTCCAGTTTAGAAATTCTTATAGCAACATTATTCGATTTGCCGAGTTTGATTTTCTTCGCCAGATGCGCTCCCGGTCTTTACAGAGTAGATGTGTAAAGTAAGCAACCTGAAATGGTTGTAAGTTCTATTGTGAAGCAGGAGTTAGTTATCGGAGTCTTTCTTCTGCACGGCCATGACCCTACAAGAGACGCCCGCTCGAGATTCGACAAATGGAGCTAGTGCCTTTCCCTCTCCTTTCGGAGCCCTTCACGACCTTTTGTCATCGAATGGGCATCATTGGTTTGACAAGGAAAACGTGGTATCTTTAAAGGGTGGAAATGGAAAGGGGGAGATGTTGCAATGCGTGACGTGTTACCTTGATGGTTCCAGGTCACGTGTATTTTGCTTGCATGTTTCATGATCCTCGATCCACGGACACGATTATGTTCTAGCTGTGGCGGCTGTAGGTATTTTTTTTTTGCTTTCGCTGCTCACGTAGTATCGATATAGTTTGCCGTCGCATGTTATCTTGTCCCATGTGTCGGGGTGAAGGGTTTTGAACCGTCCTGGCTTCTGCATTCATAATGCAAATCATTGGAAGATCTCGTTTCGGTTTTCTCAATTGGAATAGTCAAGGAATACGTGAGAAAGTAAGTGGTGCTTTTTAAATCCAAAAGCCTGCCGGGATTGAAGGGAACTGCAAAAAAAAGTCGCCAGTCGCAAAAAAAAAAAAACTTATTTGCTGGTCCGTTCTTGGAATTTCAGTTCATCCCGTAAACCCTGTACACGTTCTTAGACCCTTTTGGATGGTAATGAATGAATCTGCATTATGTCGGAGACCAATCCATAGATTTTTTGCTTTGGATAGGCTGTTTCCTCGCATATGATATAGGCGTTTATTTGTATTTTTAGTGTGACTTGTAATGAGTCACATGGGAAGAAGCCGTGCTTTTACCGCATTGAAACTCGAATGTGAATATGGTGTCTTGTTTTGGCATCGGTGTTTCCAGGGCAATTTTCATTTATTAGGGTGGTGCTTAGGCCCATAGTAGACGTAGTAGACCTTTATTGGCCGACAAGTCAGCAATCGATGCTTACTTCTATGGCGGCGGCCTTAACCTGCCTCTGACTGAACCCCATTTTATTCATCGCCTCGTCCGCGCTTCGGGGAACACGATATTAAGACTTCACCGGCGGTCTGTCGGGAGGGAAGTGTTTGTGGGGGCATGAAGGCGTGACTAGTACTCGAAAGTCACGAATTATGGTTCGCAAACCGCAGACTTCCCCTTGCGGAAGGTATATGAATATCGCATTTCTCCATTAGTCACGAAACCTCGTGAACCTACGAGCCTTTGTTTCACTGTGACTCGGTGGGTCAAGTTCGTGCTTCGAATGGCTTGGTTTGGCGTGCTTTGTGATTTCGTTTCCCTCTTTGACGTCTACATGCCAAGGTAAACGCTGCTTTTCATCTCCCACCAGGTTTCTGGACTTCGTCTGGCATCTTGACGAAATTGAACGTGGGATAGGCCCCGCCGCAGACGTCATGTTAGGGAAATAACCTTCAAGTTGAGTTTGGTTCAGTAGCTCTGCAAAAAAAAAAACAGGGAAAATGCTAATCGAAAAGCTTACATGAATGACGTATAAACGTGTCGTGTCGCGGTGAAGAATTATTCATGTTCTGCGGGACAGTGCGAGAAAAAGTGTTTCGAAGATAAGGTACGTGGTCGAGGAAAAAAGGATGAGCTTGTAATTGAGACGCTGCCAAATGGCCCCCTAGATCCGATGCCAGGGCCTTGCAAACTGGAATGGAATGGGTTAGGTGTGTGCTCTTCGCTTACCTCTCCTCCCCCCGACTTCTCATTCATTCTCGGCCAAGGACGAGAGTGAACAGGAGACGGGCATTATCTGTCTTATAGATGAGGAATCGATTTCCCCGTCGGGACACGGGACTTGCCCTATATCCCCCCGATCCCCGTTCATTCTCGGTCCCCTTTCCCGGGGATTGAGGTTGGAGGTCCCTCCTCTC